TTGTACTTTTATATGTTAAGTTACATTCTGATTTTTTTTATTATGTAGATAGATTCTTAGCGTTCCTACTTATCAGAAACAGCTGTCCATCATTATGTTTTTTGTTTTTTCTGAAGCCTTGTTAAATATATTCGGGTTAAGAATTTTTTTCACTATTTAATAATTTAATTATTTGGATTTAAATGCATTTTCTTATCCCGTTTAGAAATGTGTGTGTTTTTAAAAACAAAAGATCTGATGAATGTATTTATTAAGCACTATACAAACGTTATTTAATTTAGCGTTGAATCGGTATTTATCATTTACACACCATTAAATATATAAATATACTATTTCATGAAAATGTCAAAATAATTTACAATAACATAAAACATAAATCAAAAACACATTTTATTATTCTAAAACTATATCTCAAAACTATAAATTTTATCCAAATAAATTGAAGCCACTTTCCCAAGCGAGCTGCCACTACTGCCACAGATCCGTGACCGCAACAGACAGAACAGAAGGTGGTGGTCGTATCTACCACAAGTCCTGCTTCAAGTGTCGCACATGCAAGAAGGTCTTGCAGTGAGTTGACGGTTTCTAAATTTTCATACCATTTAATTGAAACTATCAATCGTCAAACGTACTGCATCTCAAGGCAGCTATCTCAAAATTGTTCTTTCAAAAACTTCTCATATATACCTATACTATCTGTTTTCCACTTTTAAAGTAAAAAAGTCATTTGTTGTCAGAGCAACAACGAAGAGATCAAGTCTTTTTCCATCCAATTGTATAATAAAATAATTGAAACAATTTTTTGAAGAGCCTGAAGAGCCCAACAAATATTTGCTAGCTAACAGACTGTCGGATGCAAAACCCTGTCTCGTGAAGATATGCCGTTTGAATCGTAAGAAAGCGTAACACAATCTCAGACCGAACAGAATATGGCTGCAAATATCTGATCCTAAGTTTTATAACTTTACTGACCTGTTAGCAAAAAATAATCTTAACTTGGGCGAGTGATGGCCTGGTGGTTAAGGTAACCTAAGGTCAAAAGATCCCAGCCAATCACATGATTCGTGTGTAATGCGTCGTTTAGCAAATATTCACTTACGATGTTTGTGGCGTGTTGTTGAATTCTCCAAACTTAGGAAATGGGTAATGACCATTAACCTTTTACAGATGATGATAAGTCATTTTTGCTGCATCGATAAATGAAAAACACTTTCTGCAATGTTCCATGAACTTCTTCGACAATGGCAGCGAATAGGAATCTGTTTTACATATTTTAAGAAAGACAAAAACATTTTTTAAATGGTCTTGATAATCTATGGAAAATCATCCTCATTTAAAAACATTTTATTTTCACCCCTTAAATTTTTGAATTCTTCAATCAAAATTCCGGCCAATTTTTTATATACATATGAAATAATAAACACATGAATGATTTCACAACGTGTTGATATGATATAGGGAAGCTATCTTGAAAAATGACTTGATTTCAAAATAAATTATAAATGTTAGAATTCATAAATATTAATTAAAAGCTTCAAAATGCCAACAGGTTGGGCAACTACGTTCAGGCGCATGGACATCTCTACTGCAAGGCTCACTACAAAAGTGAAGTTCTCTCGAAGAACGCACGTGCTTAACTAACTCGGCATATCTTCGAAACTCTCTTAGATAGAAAATTAACTGCTTAATTTCAATTTATTTTTAAAAATTTTCAAAAAATATTAGATTCTTTCTCAGACTTATTTATTATTCGACAATTACAATTTTTTGAACAGACGTTTTCGTATTATATGAAACTATGATTTTATAAATATAACTATCGGCAACGTTACTATTACATAGTTAATTAATCAATTTATAATAAAAATTATTTTATATGTATGACCGTTTGTTTGATTTCAACATTAAGAAGAAAACGTTTTAGGATTTGTTTAATTTTTCATGCTTTAATATGTCAAAAAATTTAAACCTTCGAACTTCGAAAGATTTATATTTGTTATACTTGTTTAAAATTTCTAAATTTTCAAAAAATCAATATTAATTATCGTCACACATTCATTTTATAATTGATGCAGGGTGACTGCAGCGGACGATCATTTACTTTACAGCGTAAAAATACAGTGTAATGACGTAATTCCTTTTAGGTCAACGTTCAGATGAAACATTTGATTTCACTTCCTATGTTGAATTCAAAAAAGTTTTCAGTTTATTCGCTCAACATCCATGAGTTTTAATTTGTCTACGTCACTGTATTAATAGGAATTGAGCTATAGTACGTTAATACCCAAATTAATACCGTGATATATTTGCGAGATTATATAGGGGAAGTATTTTTGTATAATAATGATAATAATAATAATGGATGCGTTAAGTCAATGTTGTTTATGTTTTCAATTAAATAAACTGAATAGGATATGGCAGTTTAAGTTTAGAATTTAAGGCTTGGTTTTTTATTATAAATATGGGTTTTCTACTTTTATTGTTAGCCGGTAGACAAATTGAAAGTTTTAAAAGTGAAGCGCGATTCAGCGTTTAGAATGTTTTGATGGTTGCCAAGGTGTTTGTGAGGTTTCGTACTGCACAGTTTCCAGTTCAAAAATTATTTAACTAATTTACATGGTAATTATTAAAGTTTTTAATTTTCTATAATAATCATTTTGTCATTAACAGTAGTTGTTTTTTTTTAAATAATAATTTTCAATTTTTTGCTTACCTTTTTATAATTTATTTTATTTCATAGTTTATTTTATATATAAAATAAATTATATTATATATAATATAATAATTCTTATACATAATTAATATATTATAATATAATATTAATTTAATAAATAAATAAATATACTATATAATATATAAGTCATAAAATAAAGAATAGAATAAATTTGCAGCTAAGGCAAAGCCTTTTGCTTGCCACCATAATCATAATGTAATTTGTAAAGTTGTGAGCAGAATTTTTAGGCATAAATAATTCAAATAATTAAAAATAAGATGTTTGGTTAAAAATGTTCAGTTTAACTTTACCCCTTTTGGTTTGACATCTACATCCATATATATATATATATATAGAATTCACTCTGCTCAAATTTATCTAAGACTACCTTGGCTGATTTGACCATATTTTCAGGTAGGCCATTCCAGTCATTTACTATTCTGTTGGTGGAGTAATATTTTCTAACATCCATTAAATCAACTTCATACCATTTCCTCTTGTCGCCATGGTAGGTGCGTAGTCTGGTTTCATATCGACATCTAGCAGTCCATTAAGCAATTGATAAGTTGTATCATGTCTCTTCTTTTTCATTTGTGAACAAGTGAAAATGAAACTCAAACGTCAAAATAAATTGAGACACGCCGGTACTTATTGAATTAAAAAATTAATAAATTCATGTATTGAGGAATTTACTTTTTCAAATTTTTAACCATTAATATTTTTATTATGCTATTGCTGAATAATTTTAAATACTTTGACAGTGTATTGTAGACATTAACTTAATTAACAAGATAAACAACAACCACCACAAAATAAAATCAGAAGAAATAAGAAACAACGACAAATATTTCAAACCTTTGTATCTTTCTGAAAACATTAACGAGGCTGTAGTGATTCGTTGTATAAATATTATAAATATAATATAATAAGAATATAAAAATTGTATATTATTTTTCCTGTTCATAATGTAAATAACTTCCCATCAGATTTTTTTAATGCTTTTAATATGGTATAATAATAAACATTGCTAACTTTTTAAACATTTACTATTTTGCCCTTATCCTATACATAATCACATAAATTTTACAATTTTCGCATTAATAATACAATCGTTTGTTGGTTAAAGCATTGAGATCATATATGTCCGTTCAAAAACAAATATATAAGTTAGTTTGTTTAGTTGTTGGACTAACAGACTGCTTGTTGTCAATTGATTACTGTTAAATATTTTAAAAGTTTATCTTCAGCTGTAATTTCAAGTAGGACATGAGACCTAAAAGCATTGCTTGAGCATTGCAGTGTAATGTGCCTCTATTTATTTGGCCCAATTGTGCGATGATCTTTGGAAAATCCGTTCAGCCTGTAAACTCTAGTCACTTGCCTTGCTGGGTTTGCAGAGTCGGGGTGGGCAGCAAGCAATTCAGTCAGATGTCTACCATGTCAACGGTGGTGACATAGACGTCGCTCAGAAATAACTGGCTCACTAATGACAGTGACCATTTCGTCTGCCTAGTTATACTATGTTATATTGACATACGTAGCGCCTGTTTTCATTGCGTATAACGAATAACAATGCGAAAATAAAGCGCTGTGTTCTGAATGAACCTCAACTTGTTAAGTTCCATCTCGTTGAGTTAGGAGTTACAATATTTTGCAGCTGGATGCGAGATTTCATTGCATAAAAATTAAATTTTTTAAACATTACGCGAAGTTCTATTGCATTTTTTTATATTAATTTACTACTACAACTAACGCGATGTTGTTTGTCTCGGTACGTTCGTTGTACGTTTTTTAAGAAGGTGGAAGGTGTTCAACTTTTTTGTTGACTCGAGAATACAAATTTTTGATACGCCGGTTGTACATCTGTGTACTACAACATTCACTCACCTGTCCTACTGAATGTAAAAATATTTCTGAAGTAACGGTGTACACTCACGTAAACAAACGCGTGCAACAATTCGTAATGTTGTGCATTTGTTTTTCGTGCCAACGTAAGTGAATGAACCAACACATGGCACATTGCTGCAGTCTTGCACCATATGGTCTCCACTGCTTACTTGCCTGCTTCGTTGGCTGCTTCACCATTCAATTTTATACTATTGCTGCTACTGATATAACGTTTCTAAACTCTTTTTAATGATTTTTATGTAATAGTGTGCGTATATATCCAGGTGTGCGTGTTTATATTTACAACTTTTTCTCTTTCACGAGAATATTTTGTAATGGAATACTTTTTATTCATTTTCGATACTTTTTAAATTAAATGTTGTAGGAGGACACTTACAACATGAAGACGTTAAACAAGTTGAGCAAGAAAGAGGATAATTACAACGGCTTCGTTTCCAAGTTGGGTCTTTACGAGGAAAAGAGGCAGCAACTGCAGGCCATGAGGAAGGAGGAGTACAACAAGTTCATTGCGCAGGTCTGCAGGTCTACCTGCTCATCTCGCTGCCCATTCCTTTCTTCAGTAATCTCTCTCTGTCTCTTTCTCTCACTCTCTCTCTCTTTCTCTCTCTCTCTCTCTTTCTCTCTCTCTCTCTCTTTCTCTCTCTCTCTCTCTCTCTCTCTCTGAATTTATAACATTTGTCTTTAGTTGACCTATCCAGTTCATTCATTCATTCGTTCGTTCGTTTTCGTTCATTCATTCATTCATTCATTCATTCATTCATTCATTCATTCATTCATTCATTCATTCATTCATTCATTCATTCATTCATTCATTCATTCATTCATTCATTCATTCATTCATTCATTCATTCATTCATTCATTCATTCATTCATTCATTCATTCATTCATTCATTCATTCATTCATTCATTCATTCATTCATTCATTCATTCATTCATTCATTCATTCATTCATTCATTCATTCATTCATTCATTCATTCAATCAGTCATTCATTCTTTCTTTCTTTCATTCATTCAATCAGTTGGTCACTTTTTCATCAAAATCAGTTATTCATTTATTTATTTACTTTTTCAATGTATTACAATGGGTTTACTATTCATAACGAGCTAGTGTAATAGTCAAGATGCCTGGTCGTGATTTAGCGGTGACCTGGTTTGAATGCACAGATTCCTGCCTATTATTTTCCTGTCGTCATCGTCATAATCATCTTGATCACTGTCATCGTCATTACCATCACCAAAAGGCGAAAAGCATCAACGTCACCGTCATATATCATTACTACATTTTCCACTCTTTAATCCGTTAACTCTTCCATTAGTAATAACTGTGTGATCAAAAAAATTTTCCAGAAGGAATCGAAATCCCCAAACAACAACAACAACACAACTACCAACAACAACAATATGATTAACAACAAGAACAACCTCAGCAACATCAACAACAACATCAACAACAACTTCAATAACAACAATAACAACAGAGCACGAGCGGGGGATCTACTTTCAAACGAGGTTCGTCGATTTTTATGTAAATTATTTTGTGATTATTATGTAAATAATAATCACATCAGTCGTTTTAATAGTAACATTAACGTGAACTCTTTTAATAGCCAAAAATTAAATGAATTTGAAATTTTTGTATAGGATTAATTAAAAAATAATAAGTTAAATAAATAAGAAGTGTAAACTCTGCCACTGGCACATGTAGAGCGCCAGATAAATGTACCCAAAAATCAAAATAGCAAATTAATGAAACGAATAATTTTTAAACTCATAATTTTATTTATTTCATTATTATTTATTTATTTTCGCCGATTCACACTGCCTTGCACGTTGTTACTTTCACTGCCTTTGACAGAGTTTGATTTGAAGTTGGTTGAAGTTGGTTGATCTGCAGATTGTATCTGCAGCTGTCAATGTTGTTTGATGACCACATCACGTACAATTCATTAATGTCTTGTTGAAAGAAGTCGGTTACGAATCTTGAAGAGACAAATTTTAGTTGTTGTGCGTACATCATATCTACTGGTGTTATTTCAAAAATGACTGAACAATGTATATAACCGGAGTTATCTGGACTGGTTATGAGATTGAAGAACGTTTGTCTCTTTCATATTGTCTGAGACTCTTCAGATTGGTCTCTTGACACATGGCTAATTCCAGAATTACGTTTTTGTAATTTTGAAGAATGACAATGCCATGTCTGTGTATGTTGATCAGTTGGAACATTGACCGAATAGCTTTTTTCAAATAAGAGACAATTTTAATCTTAACCGATCCCTGCCTGCACCCTATTTTGCCTTTCTGGGCACCTCCCTCGACCAACCACAGACCCACCTCAAGTGATGTTGAGAACCACAGACGAGACACAATGCGCATGCTGTTCTACCTACCCAATCTGAAGAGTTTATGTAATAGATTTTAACAAACAAATAAACAATCAAACAAACAAACCAACAGACTGCCACAAGATCATCATCATCATCGAGACCAACATATGAAGATATACTGCAGAGGAAAAGATTGGAGGAACAGAACTACAGGTGTGTAGTTTGCCGTGTATTTTTGCCCACGTGTGTGTATCTGTATGCGTGTGTTTCTAATGCGTGGGTATCAATCTGTGTATTTATGTGTCAGTTCGTATGTATGAGTATGTGCGCGTGTTAGCAGCGTATGCATGCTGCATGATGCATGCTGATGATGTTAATGAGTATAACTAACTACGCCGATGTGTGTGTGTGTTTATTTTTTTTAAAATTTAAGTTTAAACGTGTTTTGCTTCCCATGTGGTTGTTGGTTGATGATTTGCAGCTGACGACTACTAAGCTGAAGTTCTGGTCTCTATACACGCGAATGCTAAACCTTTTGAAATGTCTATCAGTCATGTAGATATGTAGATATGTATAAATGTTTAAAGTATTCAGAGACACATATAACATTGCACTTACACACACACACAAACACACACATACACCACATATACACCACACACACACACACACAAACACAAAAACAAACACACACACGCACACAAACAGACAAAACTCCAACTTGAACCTTCTTGACGCCTCCACAACAGCCGCCTACCCCACCATCAACAGCAACAACAGTAACAACAACAGCAACAACAACAACAAAATGGTTTGTGATTTGACCGCTTTACTCAACATTTTCGTTTAATACTACTTTTAATGTTCAACAACATCGTATTTTTTCGCGTTTCATCATGTCACGTTCCCACTTACGATGTGTTTTATGGTGTTTTGTTTTATTATGTTGTTGTTGTAGTTGTTGTAGTTGTAGTTGTTGTAGTTGTAGCTGTTGTTGTTGCAGTTGTTTCAATGATATTTGTTACTTAACTGTACAACATCTGATTAATTTCTCTGTCAATTTATTTCCATCGAGCGATTCATTTTTGTTCGCTTGTTTTGATGATAAAAATGATGTCGCAATCGATCGTAATGATGTCTGGTGATGGTGATAGTAATCACGACGATAACAATGATGATGATGGTGACGATGATGATGATGGTGACGATGATGATGATGGTGACGATGATGATGATGGTGACGATGATGATGATGAAGATGACGATGATAAAGATGACGATGGTGACGATGATGGTGATGATGATGGTGATGATGAGGGTGACGAAGATGATGATAGTGATAATGATTGTGATGATGATGATTGTGATGATGATGACGATGATGATGGTGACGACTATGGTGATAGTGACGATGATAAAATAAATAACCACCAAAGCAAAATTATCAATAAAAATTAAACCGATGTTATATATTGACCAGATAAGTAACGTGAATAACGTGCCTACTCAGGAACCAATCAAGTATGTTTTCATCATCATCATCATCATCGTAGCTATCATCATCATCATCATCATCATCATCGTAGCTATCATCATCATCATCATCATTATCATCGTAACTATTATTATTATCATCATCATCATCATCATCATTATCGTCATTGTGATCGTCGTCGTCGTCATCATCATCATCACGTACAGACCAGACCTCATCAGACACGATCCCATCAACATCGCCTCGCCATCCAAGGTTTTTTTGAATGTCATTTCTTTTATTATTATTATTATTGTAGTGGTAGTAGTAGCAGCAGTAGCAGCAGCAGTAGTAGTGGTGGCTGTAGCAATAGTAGGAGCAGAATGTTTACAAAACATTTTCTACCAGTTTGATGTTTTAAAACACCCAATCAATTCAATCATCCTACCATCCATTTATGTAAAAATAAGCTACCTAACAATGTCATTTGCTGTCGTTGGTGTTCTCCAGGTTGTTGTTCATCCTTCACAAACAGCAACAACTGCCACACATCCCAACAAGTTTGCTGCAACTGAGCCCGCCACTTTGATGATAGGTTTGTGTTAGTTGGCTGGTGGATTGATTGATTTTTTGGTTGATTAGTTGGCTGGTTGATTGATTGATTTGTTGGTTGGTTAGCTGGTTGGTTGATTGATTGATTTGTTGGTTGGTTGGTCGGCCAATCTCTTGCGAGAAGAGCTAGTTTGTATGTTATCGTTTCTGGTATACAAAGCCAGTGCAGTTCATCTCTGACGGATTAGTATAATGGATCAAACTTTGAGACGCCAGCAACAGATTGAAGATCATCTTGCAGCCGAAGTTTGAGACGCCAGCCAACAGATTGAAGATCATCTTGCAGCCACAGTTTGGTCCCTCGTGTAATCATATTACGGAAAATTACGGAAATCAATCCTATTGTAGATGAAACTGCAAACAAGGACTTTTGCTGAACCGGCTGTCAGGTATCGTCTCTTCTGATTGCTTTTAGCCTGTCTAGTTGAACATCGTCTACAAAGTTGACTTATGTAATATTCCATCGAGAGGTCTGCCTCCGACACACAACCGAGATTTGTTACTGTGGCTCGGAAGTCACCTACCTGACGGGTGTGTGAGGCGTTCTCGACCGCATGTGTTTGCTCGGTTTTTTGACCTTTCATCTTAGTTTATTTGCGGTCATCCTATGCCCAACTGCGCTACCGTGTCTGTGAGGACTTCAGACGGATGGTGAAATGAGTTTGTTGACTCAATGATTATGTGAATGAATGAGTGAATGAACAAACGAACGAATAAATGAATGAATGAATGAATGAATGAAAGAATGAATGAATGAACGCTGACAGGGAAGGAGTTGTCGGCAGAGGAGAACTATAGAAAGAAGGAGCAATACAGATTGGAATTGTTCAAACAGATGAAAGAGAAACAACAAAACAAGTTGGTTGTTTGTGTGTGTGTGTCTGTATGTGTGTGTGTGTTTGTTTATTTTTTAGATGTTTATATGTTTGTTCTTATATTGGTTTGTTTGTTTGTTCATATGTTTGGATGTTTGTTTCTGGTTTATTTATATGAAAGTTTACTTAATTTTTGTGTCTGTTTTGATGTTTGTAATTGTGTTTTTGTTAGTGTAGTTGGTGCTAATTTCTTTTGTTGCGTCGTGATCCCATGTTATTATTATTATTATTAGTGTTGTTGTTATCGTTGTTGTTATTGTTGTTCTTTTATTGATGCTTCCTATTAATTACTTATCAAGAAATTTAAAATTTTATGACCAATATTTTTGTTGCTTTTGTTGTTGATGTTGCTGTTGTTGCTGTTGTTGTTGTTGTTGATGTATTTAATGTTGTCGTGGCTGTGAGCGTTATTTTACTGCAGCTGGTTAAGTTGATGTCATTATTTATGCTCGAATCTGTGAAGCTATTGATTTTATTGATTTGTTAAGTTTCTGAAGCATTATTCACGTTTGCGTTGTTGTTGTTGTTGATGTTGTTGTTGTTGCTGTTGCTGTTGATGTTGTTGTTGACGTTGTTGTTGTTGATGATGTTGTTAATTGCATCGATGTTGTTGTACATGTTAACTACATTTTTAAGTTTTTGTTGTGTGGTTGATGTTTAGTTGATGTGTTGTTGATGTGTTGTTGATGTATTGTTGATATGTTGTTGATGTGTTTTGATGTGTTGTTGATGTATTGTTGATATGTTGTTGATGTGTTTTGATGTGTTGTTGATGTGTTGTTGATGTGTTGTGTGATTTGTTTTGTCAATCTGACAGACTGACATAATTTTAAATGCCGTGATGATATGGTGCTAGTAGAGAGTTTTCGAACCCGGTCACAACGCAATAACGACTCGAGACGTGACATTTCTACCCGCTGAGCTAACTAGCCGACTTAAAAATTCATTTTTAAAAAATATTTTTACCTTTTATGTAATTTCTATCGACTAGTTTATTTCAACTGCTGAATGATGATACCGGTTATTTAATGTCAGTTGACTTTTTTTAAGTTAATTATTTGCCGTCATGACTGCTGGTCAATTTTTAACCGTATATTTGCATTATATATAACGTTTGCTGTGTGTGTGAAGCTAGGCCACCTGATTTCTATTGTTACTAATTTGTTGCCTTCAGAAGCAATAGTTTATCGCTTGCCTGTCAACCGTTACAAACTGATCGAAGGCAGTTATTTATTTATTACTATCGCATAATCTCTCAAACATAAATTTGTTGTACTTTTGTTGTTGCCGCCAGATTGAATCGTGAGAATGCACCGCAAGTTGCGCAACAAAACTTCCACGACAACGATGTTGCCAAAAATAACAATTTGAACAACAAAAATAACAACAACAGTTACAACAACGTTGATTTTTCAACAAAGCCGAATGATATTAACGCAACACCATACAACAATTTTGACAGCATCAACAACAACAACAACAAGACTTTATTGGAGAACAACTTTCATTACATAAACAGATTTAACGCGAACAACATCAACAACAACAACAATCCGTTGAGTGAACAGGCACTTCAGCAACAACTTCAGCTCATGAATCTATACAGAATGTACAACAACAACAACAACAATCCCAACAACATCAATTTCCACAACAACAACATTCCTTCAACTTTATACAGCAACCCGATACCTTTACTCTCATCTGATCTCAGGTTGTATGCCATATAACAGCACGTTTCTCATCACATTATTTCATTACGTTAATATATACATTAGATAGATTGACATGAAACTCACTTTTCCATTCAGAGGATCTATATCCATCTATCATGATGTATCTATCTATCTTTCAATAAAATATCTCACTTAAATTTCAGTTGAATTAATTTTTTTTGTTGGAAACCGGATGCATATTTGCGCTGAACAATCAACTTTTATGAAAATTTATGAATCACCCAATGATCGTCAACTGTTATTGTTATAAATAAGAACAACGAATGAATATTTTTTTAATTTTTGTATAAAAATACGTCAAACAAATTGAAAACAAAACTCTATGACCGAGTATCCACTTTCACTTTCACTCGCACATACGTACAAGTTTAAATTAACTTCCATCATGAAAAATACAAAAAACCAACACCATTGATCCGAAACAGTTGCTCGCACGATCATTTTCTCCAACCACTTTTGATGGCTTGCAATGTTTTCACGTGCACCTACAATTACTTTTGATCTTTCTTTGTAGTAGTAGTAGCATAAGCAGCAGCAGTAGCAGCAGCAGTAGCAGCAGCAGTAGCAGCAGCAGTAGCAGCAGCAGTAGCTGTAGCAGCCGTAGTAGTAGCGGTAGTAATACTGGTAGTAATCGTCTGTTGGTTGGTTAGCACAGTGACCGTTGTGTAGTTTGCACAGATTATTTTTTTCAATTTATTTTGTTATTTATTAGACACCTATGTGGACTGCACAAATATCTGTCCGATGATATCATTAATATCATTAATATCATTGATATAGTATCATAGTATCTGCTAAGAATTTCATAACATTTTTACATTCTAAGTTGGCGTCATTCCTAAGACTAATGATATTTATTTGATGTGTGTTAATTATTGATGAGGAGAGGAAGATGACGACGACAAATGAGTGCAACATATGACGACGATGACGTCATCATACATTCGTGGTATTGTTGGCGGGGAAGAGGTTGATTAGGGGCTGCTGTTGAAGTTTCATGTTGTATTTCAAATGGCAGACGATTAAAATAACGGTGAACAGCGGTCTGTCTGGCGGGAATTTTGTTGCTTCTGTAGATTTGAAAATATGATAGAAATGATATGTTAATCACATCATCATCCATCGTTACACCATTTGAAGTAATTATTCACCACTCATTTCAACTTTCACTTTCGAACTAAATTAACACTGATGCACGCACCGAACAAAACAAAACAGCTTGCTGACCACTAACCCTTACGTCAACCCCTACACATCCAACCTCATGCTTCCACCACCTCCACTACCACCACCACCAAATCCCCCCTACATACCAAACAACAACAACCTCAGGTATACTGCACTTTTTTATTTTTTGATTAATATTTTTGATTATTATTTTTATTATTCTCTTATTATTTTATTTTATATATTATTTATTCATATTTTCATTTGCACATTTTTTTATTTTGCCGGATGATTGATTTGATTATTTTTGAATTGAATTTTTAAATTAATTTATTATTCAATCTATTCACATATTTTTCAAATTTAATTACTCATTGCTCGTTAATTGGTTTCACGAATGGAAGATTCGTATTATGAATAGTTGTTATTGCAACTGCGGAAGAAATATTTCGCACCATGATTACAAATTTCAACACAAACTTGTCATTCATCAATGAAATGAATCAATCAATCGATCGTTTGTTCGTTCGTTCGTTCGTTCAATCGATCGAACGAACGAAGAGTTGATGTCGTCGTCGATGTCAATCAATCGATAGATCAATCAGTCAATCAACCAATCAATCAACCAATTAATCAAACCAACCAACCAATCAACTAGTCCATTGTCATTGTACACGGACCAGTTGCTGGACGATCGCTACCAAATCTTACAAGCCCTCCTTAGCAGGTACAGCCATGATGTTAGAGGTTGGTTGGTTGATTTGTGGCATGGTTTGTCTGCTGGTTAATCGGTCGATCAGTTTGTTTGCTGTATTGTTCTGCTGTTGGTTAGTTTGCACAATGGTCAGTCGGTCGTTGGGATAGTTAGATGGTTGGTTGGTCATTTGGTTGGTCATTTAATTGGTTAATTTGTCGTCTGGTTGGTTGGTGGTATGACTTATTGGTCAGTTAATTGGTTAGTTGATAGTTTGTTTGTTTGGCTGGTCGGTTGGTTGATAGATCATTCAGTCAGTTGGTTGTTTGGTCAGTTGGTTGGTCAGTTAAAAGTTGGAGTGAAAGGTGTGTGCAATCTGTCATTCAATTTGTTGATTTCTAACACTTCACCGTACTACCACCATTATGATGATTTCATCCTCACTGTGACCCTTCAGCTAAATTATTATTATTATTATGTTAGATCCATGGGTTTATATTTATTTGCACTTGTTATATTGTTGAAGATCAGAACAGTGGACAAACATCAAACGACAACAACAACAATAATAATAATTACATTAAAAATGATGCGCCTAACAACCATAACAACAATAAGAACCACGGTGATGTTGGTAACAAAATTAATCACAACAACAACAACAACAACAGTGTAAATAAAAATTTCAACAAAAAAGCTGCTGGAATGTTCGTGTAAGTTTGTTTCAATGTTTTTTTTTTGATGTTTTGTTTTATTTGCAGTTGTTTAATTTTTTGATGTTGTTGTTGCTGTTTTTGTTGTAGCATTAGTTGATGTCGTCGTCGATGTTGTTGCTGATGTTATTGTGCATGTTGTTGTTGATGTTGTTGATGCTTTTTTTGATGTTGTTGATGCTTTTGTTGTTGTTGATGTTGTTGTTGATGTTTTCATTGATGTGGCAGGGTTCGAATATGACAAAATGAACCCGTTTAGCATGTTGTCGTTGTTGTTATTGATGACGTTGTTGATGCTTTTGTTGATGTTGGTGTTGTTGTTGGTGTCGTTGTTAATGTTGAAGTTTTCATTGATGTGTGTTGTTGTTGTTTTCAAAAATCAATTGGTTGCGTTAGGCGAAGATTGTTGTTGTGGTTATTAGCCAATCAGAAATTTCTGTTGGTTTTGTCCCGAGATGAACTTGTTGTAGTTCTATAGGACTGTTGGGACAGTCGAAGAGATGTTGAAGATTGTGGGGAACTTTGTTACCTGCCGGCCGCGTGTTTGAGCTAGTCGGATGTTAACACATATTCATACACTACAATTGATTGCTGCTGGTTGCTCTGAATTTAGAATGACCGTAATAGACCTTTGACCTTTAACCTTTTCGTCACTTATTTTTTCAAGTGACAACAACATCGATGAGGAGAATTTGATAAACAGGAAGAAGATGTACCAGAAGGAGTTACAAAAGCAGGTGATGTTGTTGTTGTGTTGCTGTTGTTATTGTGTTGTTGTGTTGTTGTTGTTGTTGTTGTTGTTGTGTTGTTGTTGTTGTGTTGTTGTCATCTTCATCTTCGTGATAGATAATCACATCATCGTCATCATTCAGATTGAAGAGGATCGACTGATGAAGTTGAGAAAAAAGCAGGAGGAAGAAGAATATGATCGGAAGATGACGGCTGAGATGAACAGGTAGTCCGGAGTGATTAACTGATTGATTAACTGATTGATTAACTGACTGATTAACTGAATGATTAACTGACTGATTAACTGATTGATTAACTGATTGATTAACTGATTGATTAACTGATTGATTAACTGATTGATTAACTGACTGATTAACTGATTGATTAACTGACTGATTGACTGACTAACCGTCTGACTGACTGATTGACTCGCTGGCTGACTCAACGATTGACTAGATTGAGTAGATTTTATCAACTGATGACCATAATTTGGTGATGGTGATGGGATGATAACACTGACGAGATTGTGATGGAGATGATGGTGATAATTAGTGCTGTAGTAATTATTTCGGTGATGATTAAAGTCGCGATTTTTTAAATGACACTCACCTCATCACGTTTCCATTTAAGATTTTGATTTCAACGCATAGATGTGATGGTGGTGGTGTTTCATTTATTATAATGGTGGTGATTACGTTACTGATGATGACTCTGCTGATGGTGGTACTGATAACGATGATGAGGATGATGATGATGGTGATGATAACGATAGATCTGATAATGATAAAAATTATTATAACCATCTTGATGATTGTAATGATTCTTTTATCGAACATTCCACCAATTTCGATGGTGGTGTTGATAATGCTGGTGTTGTTGATGATGATAGTGATAAATATGGTGGCGCTGATGATGATGATGATGTTGTTGTTGATGATGATGATGCCCAGGTACAATGATCTGAAAAAGAAGATAGGAGGTTCTGGAGCCCCATTGTTGGATCAGTTTGGGAATGTCATCAGTTAGTTTCTGTACACTGGATGGTGTTGGGGGCTTTGATTGGGGTGATAACTAGGGTGATGGTGATTGAGATGGTGAAGTAGATGGTGACGTATATGGTGACGTAGATGGTGGTTGAGATGATGACGGGAATGATTATTTAGATGCTGGTTATTGCGAGGATGATTTTGATGACAATGTTGGTGGTTTCGGTTAGTTGTTATAATGAATGATGATCACCATGAATTGACAACGATGTTGACATCATGGTGGAATGATGGTGGCAATGTTGACGATGATGAAGGGATGACGACGATGATGACACTAACATCGGTAGAGATTGTAGCGGAGATGAACTAACTGTTTGATAACAACAATTAAATTAATTTCAACTTCATTGATGTTTTTGACGATGTTGTTGTTGACGATGATAATGATGTTGTTGTTGATGATGATAATGATGTTGTTGATGTTGATGATAATGATGTTGTTGTTGATGATGACGACGATGTTGTTGTTGATGATGACAATGATGTTGTTGTTGTTGATGTTGATGACGATGTTGTTGTTGATGATAATGATGTTGTTGTTGATGATGATAATGTTGTTGTTGTTGTTGATGATGATGACGATGTTGTTGTTGAAGTTGGAGATATTT